GATGTAAATTCCGCCAAAATGGCAGGCCAGGACAAGATCCGTATTTTCCGCGTCCCGGACGTGAAATTGATGAAGCCTAAAAACGGTCAATTTCGCCAGCGAAATCAAAGAACTACCCATAAAGCGGTAATTTCGAAGCAGTTTCCAAATACTTCAGCTCCGCTTTTGAAGTCTTTAATCCATTGTGAGCCACGTGAAGGTCGGATATTCGTTGCATTAAGTTTTCGGAAACGTTTGGAGCGAGTTTGAGCGAGACGAGGGCGTTGTGATCTTTTTGAGTGTACTGAACAGGAGCATCGCCTAGTTCAGCTTGAGCTGCTAGCGAACCTTTTTCAGGGCTTCATCAGTGTTTGAATCTATCTTCGATCCTTTTTACTTGATTCTAGTGCTCTTGTCTCACTTCTTCAATGAGAGCTGAATCAAGGAAGATACGACATTTCTAGCTTATTTAATCGTTATGTTTTATTCTGTAAAGCCCTTTCCTAGCAATGCATGCGTAACAAATGAAGCGAGAAGTCGTCCCTTTGCAATATCGTCCCTCAGTTGGCGATACATGTACAATCTGGTGATTTCCTCGACCAAATAGGCCGGATCTGGCGGGTAGAGCTTCACGCAAAACTTCACCAGCCACGGCTCTTTTAGCTGCCTTCTTATTTCTTTATCCAGCCTTCAAAAACATCTCCAATCTCTTCAAAACAAAGAAGAATACCTGATCCACTTTCTTTGGTCGTTTTTCAGGGAAATATACAAGCCAAAGTATTCTTTCTCGCGAATGTCCAGTGAGTCGCACATCAAATCGAACAGCTTTTGCCCTGTCGCCTTCTTTTCGACCTCGAGGATCTTCGACTCTGCGCCAAAGACCTCGACTTGGATCTCTTTCTTCATATTTTCGAATTTGATTCTAGCGCCGTGTACGATTTCCAACTGATCATCTGAAGGGAGGAAAGAGTTAGGGGCTTTCAAGTTTCAACTTGGTCAGTGACTTTTGGGCAGAAATTTTAACTAAAAGGGGAAAATAGGAAGTTTTTCGTTCGGAACAATTTTAGCAGAACTGGCATTTTAGACAGCTTTTGTCTAAGCAAAGATATTTCAGATAAAAGGGGGCAGAAAAGGAGTAAAAATAATTAGTCTTCGATCATATCGTCAATCCAACCCCAGGCGATGATTGAAATGCGCCCTTCGTCTTTGAAATTGTTCGGGTGGACTGCCGGGATTCCGTGGCGCCATTCGACATTCACTTCTTTGCCGAAGGTGTAGATGGTGCCGTTGTACTGGGGCACGGAGATCGTCGTTTTTGTCTTTTCAACTGTTCCATGAAGGAAGAGAACTAGGAGTACCTATCAATGGAAAAGCCGAGCTAGACTTGGAAGCCTGTGTAAAAAAACTGACAGGGTTTAAAAATCTCAGATGAAAAGCCACGTAGCAGCTTTTTCAACAAATTCTGAACATTTCAGACCCTGACTTAGGGCATGACTCAGGTTTTTTCACAGGTTTCCAAGCCTCTTCTTTCTCTCTCTTTCTCAAAATCTGAGGAACAGTTCCTTGGCGTGTTCAAAGGCAGCTTCGCGCTCCATGCCGAAGCTGACTGCAATGGTGAGGTTCTGCGTCTTCGCCTTGTCCGCCTGAATAATAGAAAAGGATAATAAAGCTTTGATAAATAGCGAGTGAAGGATGAAACCGCTTTAAGAAAGGTCAATCCGCCTCTTCCCCTTTTTAATTAAAATTACCTTTACAGCAGCTGCATCGTGGTGAAACGGTTTCCACTCGCTCGAATTTCTGTACCAGTTGAAGCGCGTCGCTTTCACGTCCATTTTGAAGTACTCTGTCATTTTCTTCACAACTTTGAGGAAGGTGGGACACCTCTTCTTCCAATTTCCTTGTTTATCATCGGCGATCAAGTGGGAGTCGTTGTGCCATTTAACAAGTAGTTTATCTAAAACGAATTATGAGAGATTTTGTCTTTTCGTAATTTCAACAAAAATGACCTTGTTTCGATGGTGAGTTAAATTTTTACCTTGATCGATGCCGGAGTTTTGAATCTCATCAAGTAGACTATTGTAAATGGACATGTCGTTTTCATCCCCGAATAGGCCATTTACAACGACGACATCCCTAATCTCAATTTTAATTAAAAGTCTCTATTATTGTCCCAGAAATATTGCTCGAGAAAGAGAAGGACGAAATAATCGATCGATTTCTCTGTTGAATAATTCTAGTAGCGCTCTTTTCTCCCTACCTATGGTTGTAAGGGCGTTTGTAGGAAGTCCAGTGAACAGGAGCAGGGACCAATCGGAGATCTGGCGGCTTGTAGCTTGGCTTGAAGTCGACTGTATTTCGCCCCTTGACCATTTTGACGCTTTTGTTCTGTTTCGTCTTGTTTTCGTAGTTTTGGCTATTTTCGCCGTTGTAGGAGTGATCGTGGTCGCCGTTCTGGATTCGATTCTTCCAATTTTCATTTCGAGGATTTCGATGTTGACGATTTTGGTCTTGATCTTCGTGGCTCTGGCGAATGTGGTTGTTTTGCAGACGACCTCGTTGACCGCGATTTCCGCTACGACCTCTGAAATAAGAAATGATTAAGATATCTCTAGAATTATTCTGAGAACTGAAAGGCCGCTTGCCGCTTCTTGAAAAAGACCGAAAAGCCGCGCTCTAAAGCGGACTGGGCTCGGCAACCTGAGTAGAAAACCTGAGTCAGGGTTCTAAAAGAATAAAATGAAAAGCCGCTTCGCCAAAATAATCAACTCAATGAATTTTTTAACTAGCGAAGCCGCTTCGCGGCTTTGTTTTTAAAAAAGCCGCTTCGCGCCTTTTCATTTTACTCTTTATGAACCCTGACTCAGGTTTTCTAATTAGGTTGCCGAGCCCAAAAAGCGGATTTGAATTGATTCGCATCGCAGCTTCGTTTTTAACGCGGCTTTTCATGAAAAACAATATTTTACTTACCTGTTTGAATTCTTGAACTGATGCCTGTACTTTTCATAATCGTCGTTGTGATTCTGGTCCTTGGCAGATCCGGAATCTCCAGAATGATGAAGCCGAACTTCTCGATCGTGATCGTGCTGGTAACTCTTTGGCTCCTGATGTTCTTCTTTTCGCGGTTTTGCCACGGAGAACTTTGAGAATTGCTCCGCCAGGTTGTCCAGGTCATTTGACTTTTCACGGCTCTGGAATAAAGAAGGTTAATAATTTCGAATAATCAATTTGAATTAAAAATAGAAATCTTACATTTTGCGGCCCTTTCGCCCGGTAAAATCGATCTTCTGACATTGTCTGATTCTTCTCTCTCTCTCTTTTCTCCTCTCGAAATTCTCGATCGATAAAATACAATTCGTAATTCGCGAAATTGGCAGCTGCGTCTCGGAAAAATTTTTTCGCGCGCGATTTCGCCCGACTGGATTCTCAACTGACGCGCCTCGGCCAATTAGATTCGCGCGTTCGTGGAAAGTCAAATTCTCAATTAGGAGTTACAAATTTCGATTCTAGAGCCTAGTATCTGAATTCAACCCACAGTTTAGTAAAGAATTTAAAAGGATTTATCCCTGAAATAAAGATTGAAAAGATTTGAAAAAAACATCGAATTTTTCTATTGATTCCCGATTTTTCTCCTCATTTTCGCGTGGATCTGAAGTTTGTACATTTCACAGCTGGTAGTGAAGCTGCTTGGTAGAAACTACACTTTAGAGATTTTTCCATCGGAGCCCTGAAGAATTACAAAAAATCACTTTCAGTTCGCAAACCGCTATTTCTTTGAACTCGCTCTTGATTTGCTCCTCTAGTTCGTTCGACTGCTTCTTGTCGTCTTTTCCCCGAATAAGTCTTGCAACAGTTCTGAACTCCTTCCAGTCCTCATCGACGCCGTCATCCAAATCGTGCAATTTATATATTATTTGACGTAAAAACTGATCAACGAAAGGAATAAAGCAGTTTTTTCCTGACAGGTCTTTTTGACTTCTTCCGAGGCCTCGCTGTGAAAGAACATCAGCTACTGGAACTCTTTAATGTTGATAGTACTGTCCTTATTTATGGTAAGAAATACGCGTTCGCCTAATCTTAAACAAAAAAGTTCAGTCGGAAACGCTGTGTGCCATTAAAATTAAGATTAAAGATTGAAATGTGACTGAGCTTATCAACGAAGAAAATGGTTTCGTAGGAATATTTGTCGACCACAAAAGGAGAGTAAATGCACTAAGCAGCCACAAAAGACCTACCGGTCAAGCTATTTCTATTTATGGAAAAGGGGTGTTTTCTTGTTGATTTTCACTTTCCATGAACTTTGGATCGTTTCATTTCCACAACAAGCAACAACATTATGAGCTCCTCTCTTCAGCCATCGTCTACACCTTTATGGGCAGATCGAAAGATCTCGCCGTGGGTCCAAGAAACGTGGATTCCGATGGCTGCCGTCACGTAACAATCCTTCCCTTGAGACTTCGAAAACGGCGCTTTTCAGATCTGAATCGGACCCGAGATTGGCGAACTTGCTCTGTTTCTGCTCCGGAGCGATCATTCTTCTTCTCGGAATTTTCGATCTGGGCGCTGTCGTCAACTACATTTCAAATCCTGTTCTCGTTGGTTTTATTTCAGGAACGCGTTTTCATGAATAAGTTTCAAAAAAAGTCTTCCTTGATTTCTTCGCCAGATTTTGTGAAAGCGTGATTTCCAGCTGCATCGATCATCATCCCCTTTTCTCTTCTCGAGCGAGTGTCTGGTCTCTCTGGCCTTCCTGGACCTTTTACCAGAAAATGGTCATGCGCATTGGAGAGTCGAAATACTACGACGCGGTTATTGGACTGAGCACGCTCGCTACTCTCCTCGCCTTGAAAAATCTTCGAATTCACTTTGAAGACCCAAAAGAGGGCGACTCCGCGGTTGTGAAGTTTGGGCTTACTTGATTTCTTGCGGCGAAGAGTCCAATCCGTCTCTTCGATCATGTTATTCACCGCATAGAGGCAGCGGATTGAATCTCTTTTCTTCCTTATTTTTCCTCGAGAAGCCGTTCAGTCCATTCCAGCGTCATTTCCGATCTCTGGAGCAGCTCTTGGCCGAGGTTTTGTTCGCTCAAGCTGACGACCACTTTCATCAAGCTCGCGCCTTCCGTCCGCGATTTCGAGCTAAAGACGACTTGAATTTCGGAGCTTTGAAATGGACTTACCAGCTGTTCTTCAATCCGAGCGCGTAAGAGGAATTCCTCAAGACACGAGATGATTTCCTGGAATATCTCGGCAATCAAAACTTGTTCCAACAAATTGAAGAGTCCGTTCAAAGATGATTTTTTCACGACGTCGTCGTAACAGTCCAAAGTCGATGACGCTGCCAAGTCGCAGAATTTCAGCTCCTCGTCGACGCTTTTTGTTGAATTGCTTATGGCGGAATCAAAGCTATCTTCGTCGTAGAAGTCTTGATAAATGATCATCTGGGACGACTTCAGTGTCGATTTCGCTCGTTGGATAAGATCTGGTGGCGCTTGCTCTCCGGATCGTATTTTCTTCACGACAGAATTTGAACTCTCTCTTCTGGTTCGGCTCCGTCTTTTCCAGCGTGTCTAGGAGTTCTGAATATTCGTTGTAGAAGAAAATTCGAGCCCTTAACTTACCTTTGCTCATTTTCTTTCTCAGTTCCTTGTCCCTTTTTTCTTTGATGCTCATCAAAGAAGAGCTTGGCGACGAGAACAGCGACTCCAATCGTGGCATGAGAGAAGAAGACAGTGATGACTTTGCGGATTGAGGGCATTTTGCACTGATACAGCTAACCGTTAAAAACGCTTGGGAATAAGGACTTGTTTGCTTGAAGCCCGGTACCTATTCTGCCAAATCTGGGAAACTGATAAATCAAAACTGCAGTTCGAAAGACGGGTTCGACAAAAGAATAAAGTTTGTTTTGTATTCAAATAAACATGCGTCTTTCACCTCATTTACAACTGCTCTTGACTAATTTTTTACCTCGAAAAAACAGGAGTTTTCTTCTTTGATTTCAAGATTTGCTTTTGTAAAATGAAAAAAAGTATATTTTCAAAATAACAGCTTGAAGAGAATGTCAGACGATCATTTGAGTACTTCTTCGTCCACGTGAGGAGAATTTGAATACTCAAAAATCACATCGACTAAACATTTTCAAAGTCATCGATTTGGTCTTCAACTAACGGAATTCTTGGCTTTTCAATTGAAAATCAGTCCCGCTGAGCATTTTGTTAATCACAATCAAGCATCTCATCTCATCAGAGAAAGAGCTCGAGGACGCGAGGATTCTGAAGCGGTAGCAAGAGCAGGCACTAGAGCCTTCGACCTCGCCTACATCATCATTCGCTTCTACGAGAAAGTCAACAAGGATATTTACGAGGACTTCTTGAATTTAAGCGAACTTGCAAGGTCTTAAATTCCTCCTAGAGCTGGAGCGTCTGACATGATATGATCTTTTCATGAAGCAATCCGTGTTCTACCGCTCAATCGGCGTCGACGAGGACTTCTGCAACTTCATGTTCAACTTAATGCGAGAAAAGCTGAACGAATACGCGAATGGGAAATCTAGCTGCCCTTGGACCGGCCGAAACAGCGAGTTTCCGAACAGCAAGCCGCAAGCATAACGACTCGTTATTAACGAGAATTCAATTCCTTTATTTGCAGAAAGATGAATTTAGTCTAAGATTTGAAAACTTCGTTTATTAGTTATTAAGAAGCAGGAGAGAACTCTTTGAATATTTCTTTCAGAACTGCTATCGCTGAACTTTAAATAGACGCTCTATTATAGACTCCACTATTTGAGTTCGCAAAATTGAAATTTGAAACTGTAATTTTACAAGAAAAATTGCGAACTGGCCTTGTGCTTCCGGCGAGGCAAATTTCCGCTGACTCTTCCAGATCTTGAATGCCTCCTTCAAATCCGGATCGTCACTTTCCGCGAAATCTTGTTCCTCCATTTGATCGTACTTTTCGCTAGCTTTGTCGAGCCCAAGCAGGAAGGACTCAAATTTGTGAAGTTTCTCCGCTCATCGCCTTTGAAACTCTTTCGCAATTTTCGCAATTTTCGCTTCTTGATTTTTGACTGTACCTATAAGAGGTTCTTTTGGATCGGCAAATTCCCCGCCATCGTCAAGTAGCCAAGCAATTGTGGACATGTTGTGCTCGGCTTTAAAGCCATATCTTGCATAGAGATTGATTATTTTCTTCAGAACATGGCCTCTCTTTTGTTGGTTACAGGCTAGAAAGGATAAAAAATTATAACCAAATAGGGAAAAACGAAAATCGTACCTAAATGAAGAGAACTGTGCTTTCCTTTTGCTTTGAAAGGCTTCTCTAGCATTTCTTGGTCATCTTTATATCGTTTAAAAGTTATCTTTGAACTTGAAAACGGTTTTCTTCCGATGACAGCAAGGTCGAGAATGCTCATATTGAATTCGAGCTCATCCGAAGCCGAGCCGCAAGGAAGCTGGTGAAAACGTGCGCTGAAGTCACGCTGGAAATTATTAAAAGGATTAAATTCTTTTACCTTGCGCGGTTCTCGTCTCGACCATGCTACGAGTCATCGAGCGCTCATTCTGCAACTCCGTGAACGCCTTGACTGCTTTTTCCGTCACCGATCGAAGTCGTTTTCGGGGTGGCGGGCAGCTTCGTTCGCAAAGGCCATTTACTTCCAACTTTTCTTCCCAGTATTTTCGCTGCTCCTCTAACTGAACGCTGTAGACTCTACAGTGTAGAGTTTCAATCACTCGGTTTGAATCTTTGCTTCCAAATCTTTCGAATTGTCCTTCGTCCCTACGATTTTCTCGGAGCTTTCGTTCGTAACCAGTCGATGGACGAAATAATCTCGAGCGTAGTCCCAAACTCGATTGTCGAAGATGTGTCCTAGAAATGCTCCTGAGCGTGCTCTTGTGTGCATCTCCCGCAGCTAATGTTTCCGCAAACGAGGCCTTATCCATAGATTTTCTTTTGAATTGCAAGAAAGACGTGCATACCCTTAGCTTTCCTGACTCGACGGAGTTTGCGTATATCGACAAACTGGGCAAGTGGAGTCTTCCTATTTTCAAACATTGAGAGTGGAAGGAATGATTGCAAAGAACGGTTGAAACGGACTTCACCGACTCGTCCATTCGCTCCAAACAAATCGTACAAGCAGGCAGCTCGGTGAGATTCGGTAATGGCCAGCCTGCGCTTTCTCCAGCGTGAAGCAGTTCCACTTTTCCCACATACGTGATTTACGAAAACCTTTATAACTTTTTATGTGACGGCTTTTCTTTACCTTGGCAAGTTTCTTCTAAGAGCGAGTTGAATTTCTGCCCAGTAATTGAGTGATAAAAAGTATCGGCACTTTGTTACTCGTCGAATTTTAAGAGAACCATGTACTGATTCAGAGACTGGTCGCGCACGATCTTGATGTGTTCTATTTTCTTGTCGTAATTTCCGAGTGAACGGAGCAGATCCTGCGTGTCTAGATCCACTGGAACATGTAGGAGCAGGAGCATGTCGCTAGGCCTTCCTCCGTGATGTTGAAGCCGTAGTTTGTCTTGTACAAGTGAATCAGCCCTTGAACTGATTTAAAAAGGAACTTGGGTTGGGAAAAGTTACCTTGGACAGATTCTATCGCAGCAAGACCGGACATGAACGGTTTTCGGTCGATGAGTTCGTTAGTCACTTTTTGCGATAGGTTCTGAGAGGGAAAAGATGTTGAAGATGAATTGCTTGAGTTTGAGTTACCTTGAGAGCGTCGGCGAAGGTAGATTCTACCTGAAAATCGACGGATTCGATTGAGTACTCGACGAATTGCCGAGATCAACGCATTTCTTGGGATTTTTCTCTGTCATTCGAGGACATGATATTGACTGCTGATTCTTTTCTACCTCGGCGGGCTTTCATAGGACTAGAAAGAAGCAAATGAAATGTGTGATGTGATAGAAACTTAAGTTGTTAGTTTCAAATCAGAAAATAAGAAAATGCATCTTCAAAACTTAACGGAAACTTACTTATCAGAGCATTCTCGGAGACTAAATAATTATGAAACTGATAATTATCTAATAACCTGGAAGATAAATACTTTTTCTAAATAAATTTACCTCAAATCAAAAGCGTCGTGCTGAAAACTCTCAAAAATAACGGCTCTTTCGATATTCTGCGCATTTTTGATTCCATGAAGAGGGTCGCATTTCACATCGTCCTCCACTTCTCCCTCCAAGTCTTCCAGATCTCCACGTCCGCCAAGCAACTCGCTCAACAAAATCGCCGTCTGGCCGTTTGTCCCAAAATAAATCGTGTCAGATTCAACTTCGCCGGAGGAGTCTTCTTCGAAATCATCTTCGCCGTCATCCAAAATTTCTAATTCTCATGGCAAGGTTGGCCTTTCTCTTTCGATGATTCCTTCCACAAAGCCGACGGAAAGCTCTCTTCTACCATCCTCAAGTTGATCGGCCAAAGGAGGACGCATCCAGTTGATTTCCTTCGAATGGCCGGCGCAGACGAGCGGGAGGATCCAGTACTCGATCGAGGTTATTTCTATCAACCTTTCTGAGTTTGAAAGGTGCTCCATTGTGAAGTCGATCGGCGCGCTTTTCGATAGTTGTTTCAGCTTCAGAAGGAGCTCATAGAGTAGCGTAAACCACGTTCCAGAGATCAGGATGCGAGTCTAAGTGGATCATTTGAAGCCTCTTTGCCCCCAATTGACATCGACGGCGACATCCGCCGAAAGGGCCGAAACCGGCGCGAACTTCTCAACAAGAAGTGAATCCCAGCCAAGAACCTCTCCATTTCCTCCGCTTAAAATATCTGGCAGACCAGGAAACCAATTGGTGCATTTGCAATTCTGAAATTCGTACAAACAGCATGCAGCTTTTTCTGTACTGGCAAAGTTTTTACTTTTCAAAGAAATTTCGGAAAAGCCGCTTTGCGGCTTCTTTTTGACTAAGGGGTAGTTCAGCTATAAATTTCAACTGTTTCAGAACCTGACTCAGGAATTCTTGTTTTTTTCGGAAAGGCGAGAGTTTGGAAAAAAAAATATACTTTTACGCCTTGTCCTTTTTCAAGTCTTCAATTTTCTCCTTTTTACGAAAAAAGACTGAGGAGCATTTTAGTCGGAGCGAAAGAAAAAGCCGCAAAAATAGCCCACAGCTTCAAATAAAACATTTTATCTCGAAATAAAAAGCCAATTCTAGCAGCTGAACATCCCCCTTTTTCTCCGGAAAGTGACAGGAGTGGGATTCGAACCCACGTCCCGGAAAAATCCGCGCTCTGGCCGCTGAGCTACCCTGTTTTATCACTTCCGGTGACAAAAGGGACTCTCTGCCGCTTGAATTCGGCTTTCTATTTTAGAATAACTGAGTCAGGGTCATTCAAAAGCTTTTAAAGCTTTTTTCCGAATGATTCCCCCATTTTTTAAAAGAGCTCGTTCCAAGGATCAGGAATCGTAGTGGATCATTTTTGGATGAAGAAGAAACATTCCGAGTGCACTTCAACGACTCTCAATTCCATCTTTGGCATTCTAAAAACAATATTTTCAAAAACTTTCTCGAAAGTTCATTCTTCGTTCATTTCCGCTTCTTCTTCAGAACCGTCAGAAATCTCGATAAGGGAGTCTTCGTCCGAGTCTTGCTCCGACTCCGAGTCTGAGTTTGGAATGATCGCCCGCGAAGAAGACTCTTTTTCGAGGAAGGGCGGCGGACTGTGATTATTTTGGAATCGGCCTCGCTTTTCGAGCTCTTCTGAAAACTATTTCATAAAAATTTCATAGCAGAATTCGAACCTGTTTCGTGGAAGGAGTCGCGTCTCTTGATCAAATTAACTTCCTTCATCAGCATTTTTCTTTCTGTTTTCCGATTTCGTGGCCGACCATGCTCTGCGCCTTGCTGTTGCCGTCGAAAAGATCGTCGTCCCGAGCGTTCTTTCGTAGTTTCCTTTGCAAAAATTATGTTGACTTGCTTTTCTCTGCTTCCTAAAGCTAAAATGTTTCGCTCCGCGCGCGGACCAATCAGCGCGCGCGGAGATTCCAAAAGCGAGAAAAAGAGAAAAGCCGAAAAATGGTGCTAAGGGATGAAAATGAAGAAAACAGTGAACTAGAGAACAAGAAATAAAAAGAAGGGGTTTTCTTCACTGATTATTTTTGATCTGCACTCGATTGAATGTGAAATTACTGTAGCAAGCTAACTGAAGCGATCTTTAGAATAAGGCCCAATCGGCCATTTGTCTGATGAGCGGCTGAGATGAGCGTGGCTAATCTCGTGAATGACTTCTTCAGGGCTGAAATGGAGGGGATCGCGAGCTAATCGACAACAACGACGAGAAAGGAACTCCAAGGAAAGACTCCTCGAAAAATCTAGCGCAACCGTTTCTTCCCCTCTCGCAAGCCAAGAAATACCAACTCGTAAAACAGCTGTTTCAGTCTTCGCAATCGTCGTCCGTCAAAAACATTCCGCTGGAGAAACGATTGTTGTAATTGGAGCTGGACCATCAGGAATTTCTACAGCCAGACAGTTTCATTATTTTGGATTCAATGTGAAGATTCTAGAGGCGAGGAAGAGGATAGGAGGACGAGTTCATGTTTGGGCACCTTAGGTTCGTTTGAGTGAAAAAGCTCACTTATCGTCCATTTTAAGGTAGCTGTAGGAGCAATGGTCATCAACGGCCGCCAAAACAACCCTATCATCACCATGAGTCGTCAAATCTACCACGATGTCCACATCCTCGGAAGCCAATGCGGCCTTTTGTCAAATCCGAATCGATGGCTCGTGGACCAGACTTGAGAATGGAGCATCATTTCAACACGATTTTGGACATTTTATCCGACTGGAGATTAGACAAGAAAAAGGACATTCCACTCATCGTCGCTCACAAAGAATGCGTCAGCCAAAGCGCGGAAAGATACTCAAAAACAGAAATGAAACTGCTCGACCTCCACATCAACAACTTGGAATACGCCTGTGGAGCGAGCCTTTCTAGCGTTTCAGCGCTCAATTGGGACCAGAACGAGCGTTTTCCGCAATTTGGCAGGGATCATGCGATCGTGACATACGGATTTTCTGATGTTTTGGAAGAATTGTCGAAACCGCTGAATACAGAGTTTGAAATTTTTCGGTTTACCGGTGGCGAGCATTGATCATTCTGGGGAAAAGGTGGTCGTCGAAACGACTCATCGGGAGAAAATTGAGGCGGATAGGATCGGATACAGAATACAATTTTCTAAAAAAGGTTGAAATAAGACTTTTGTATCCATTTCAAAAGTTCTTCGTGTCAATCCCACTCATGCTCGCTCTCATGAAAAAGAAAATCATCAAATTCACCCCCGACTTATCTCCGCGAAAATGGCGCGCTGTAGAAAACATCGGCGCCGGCCTGATAGAATAATGCCTCCTCCGCTTCGATTCAAAATGGTGGAGTTACATGATCGGTGGCGCTGATTTCTTTGGCTCCATCAGGCGTCGACGCTGATGATGAACACGATACGTCGGGGATTTTTAATGTGTTCTACGATATTCCATCGGCTGAGAGTGATCATTTTACGCTCATGTCGATCGCAGCTGGAGCTTCGCTTGATATTTATCATTCGATGAGTGATAAACAGCTCGTTTCCAGTGCGATGGCGACGCTTCAAGGCAAGAGTCAATTAACAAGCTCCTTTTTACTTGAATTGTCGCCATTTTGTGACTCTTAAAAGAAATCTTCAAAGAAAACACGAGCCCAGAGCCCCTGAGCTTCCACATTACACGCTGAGGAAAAGAAGAATACTCCCATATGAGTTATTCTTTTATCAAACTCGGTTCAACCGGAAAAGACTACGACAAAATGGCGGAACCAGCTTCCGATCGATTATTTTTCGATGGAGAAGCCACCAATCGGTACGTTTAAGCGCATCCCTCTATAAAAAATGTTTGATAGGTATTTCCCACATACAGTGACAGGAGTGACAGTCCCTACTTGTCCGGAGTTCGCGAAGCAGCGAGAATTTTCAAGCTAGAACACAAGAAACTCAACCCTGATTCGAAATTCTACGGCGACTCGATTTTCGAACAAACTTCTCTTCATCCCCAGGTAAAGAAATCATCCCTTTTCTTCCCTTATCGTTCTCTAAGAAGCGAAAGAGCGAGTCAATCAACCAAAAACCGCCTTC